AGGGAAAAAAGGTGAGTAGTGCGTTGAGGTATATGTGGAGGCAAAAAACGTTATCTATGGAGGCAAAGAAGGGAATGTATGAATGTATAGTAGTACCAACACTCTTATATGGATGTGAAACTTGGGTGGTAAATGCAGCAGCGAGGAGACGCTTGGAGGCAGTGGAGATGTCCTGTCTAAGGGCAATGTGTGGTGTAAATATTATGCAGAAAATTCGGAGTGTGGAAATTAGGAGAAGGTGTGGAGTTAATAAAAGCATTAGTCAGAGGGCAGAAGAGGGGTTGTTGAGGTGGTTTGGTCATTTAGAGAGAATGGATAAAAGTAGAATGACATGGAAAGCATATAAATCTATAGGGGAAGGAAGGAGGGGTAGGGGTCGTCCTCGAAAGGGTTGGAAAGAGGGGGTAAAGGAGGTTTTGTGGGCGAGGGGCTTGGACTTCCAGCAAGCGTGCATGAGCGTGTTAGATAGGAGTGAATGGAGACGAATGATACTTGGGACCTGACGATCTGTTGGAGTGTGAGCAGGGTAATATTTAGTGAAGGGATTCAGGGAAACCGGTTATTTTCATATAGTCGGACTTGAGTCCTGGAAATGGGAAGTATAATGCCTGCACTTTAAAGGAGGGGTTTGGGATATTGGCAGTTTGGAGGGATATGTTGTGTATCTTTATACGTATATGCTTCTAAACTGTTGTATTCTGAGCACCTCTGCAAAAACAGTGATAATGTAAGAGTGTGGTGAAAGTGTTGAATGATGATGAAAGTATTTTCTTTTTGGGGATTTCTTTCTTTTTTGGGTCACCCTGCCTCGGTGGGAGACGGCCGACTTGTTGAAAAAAAAAATAAAATTTAAACCCGGTAAGTAGGTCTTCATTAATACCTTCATATATATTATGTTCATACTCCAACAGCACATCAGATCTCATAGATCATGCTTCCCCCTTCAACATAACACGTTCTCAGCTTCCTGCAATTATAATATTCATGGGGAACCCTAAACCACTACGTGTCATACAGAGCCTATTAAATGAGGGGCAATCTGGTTTGATCTAAGGAACGAGACGATAGCTTCAATTCTTTGGTTAATCAGACCATCATCGAGGTACCCTCTCCCTTTAGGAGAGAACGCATGCAATAATTTTAAACTTGGGTTAACGAATTCTCTAATTCATGTACTCTACTGGTACTTGTGTCACACCCGGTTGCTGCACTTTACTGTCCAACCAGTTTCGTAGTTTCTATTCTCATCTATCTTATGCTCCTTCATGGACAGATTATTTTCTGTAGTGAAGCACACATTACTGCACAAGTAAGGAGCACACACACACACACACACACACACACACACACACACACACACACACACACACACACACACACACACACACACACACACCACACACACACATAATAAGGCTACCTTAATTCTTTCATCCTCCTTGATGGGGTAGCCGCCCTTAAACCACTCAATCTCTGGGTGTTCCTCGTCAGCCGGATAAATGATATTGCAGGAGAGGCGGACACGTGTACCCTTCGTTGTCTGTCGGTCCTGCAGCTTGGTGCTGAACTTGGGCCGCCTCTTGGGGTCCCGCCGGCTGATACTCTCGCTCTGTGGCCCACAAGCATCAGGTTAACACAATATTATAATTATCATACACAATGACATACAGGTGAGTATAGGAGGATGACAAAGTTGATCCCATGTATCAGAAACCTTCCCTATGAGGATAGACTAAGGGCCCTGAATCTGCACTCTCTAGAAAGACGTAGAATTAGGGGGGATATGATTGAGCTGTATAAATGGAAGACAGGAATAAAGAAAGGGGATGTAAATAGTGTGCTGAAAATATCTAGCCTAGACAGGACTCGCAGCAATGGTTTTAAGTTAGAAAAATTCAGATTCAGGAAGGATATAGGAAAGTACTGGTTTGGTAATAGAATTGTGGATGAGTGGAACAAACTCCCAAGTACAGTTATAGAGGCCAGAACGTTGTGTAGCTTAAAAATAGGTTGGTAAATACATGGTGGGTGTGGGTGGATGTGAGTTGGACCTGATTACTTGTGCTACCAGGACGGTTGCCGTGTCTCCATTAAGTCAAGGTGGACCTGACCTGACTGGTTGGGTGCATTGGCTTGAGCCGTGAGAGACTTGGACCCTGCCTCGCATGGGCCAGTAGGCCTTCTGCAGTGTTCCTTCGTTCTTATGTTCTTATGTTCTTATGTTCTAATAGGAAGCGCATCTGTCTCGCTCTCAGCAGACGTCTTGCGCTAAATGACCCACATGGGTTTAGCGCCTAACACGAATCAAACAAAGCACACATTAAGAAAAAACACCACTAATAAGAAATCCATCTTGAAACAACTGCATTAGCCATTCACTGAATTATAATAAGAATATACTGTAATCTCAGTATTATTATTTTAAGTATATATAACATTATGATTATTATCATCATACTAACAAAATTGTTAAATCTAAATCTGCATGAGTGATTGAGCGCAGTGACCCATCTACAACGTAACAAAGTGAACAAGAAAGCTTCCCTCTATCCAAGATGCACAATATAACAAAGTTAACAAAGTCAACTCCGCCCAAGATATACAATAAATGTTCTTCCGCCACCCAGTTTACAAGGGAAAACAAATCCCACTCATGGCACTCACATCAGGGGTCCTCCTTTCCAGAGAGCCGTATTTGCTAGTGTCAATGAGTTCCTTCTCAGAGTACTCGATCCTCCTCCTGGCTCGCTCCTGCTGCCAGAACTCCTCATGCTGTGCGTGCTCCTCCTCAATCAGCTGGAGTCGTTCCTCCATTCTCTTCCGCCGACGCTCCTCCTCCTGAAGACAACAGATTAAGTAAAGTTCATCAGCAAAGACGACAAGTGTTTCCTTACGCGGGTCTTAGTCATGAGATGACCCACTACTGGAGCTTTTGGTCATCTGACAGAGGTTTTCCGTTAATAGGCTAAGTGAGCCATCTGAGGAGTACGTGTGACATAAAATATGAATCCCACGACCCTCACTGTTTAATGACCTTTGCCAATGATAATTTATTGCTATATTCACGGGGAACCACTAAACCTACAGGGGTAATAAAGTGACTGAGAAATGGGAGAGGTGGAGGGGGGGAGGTAATCAGGTGTGAACTAAACTTCACATTCATCAAGACTACGGTGCTCAACACCTGCTCTTATGTTGAGGGACTGATTACCCCACCTTCTACTGTCTTCTGTTTATGTCTCCTATTTATTGAAAAAAATCAATGGATGGCGAAACGTCTACAAATAAAATACCTAAATGTTATACATGCGCCTAATTTATCAACTAGTGAAGGGCTCTTGATCCGGGCAATTAAAGCCACCCTCTACTTCCCTGGATCAACTCCGATCGTCTCTCATTCCAAGGGAGCTATATGACAACTACGGGTTTTGCGCATCCCCATGAATATAATAATCTGATGAGTGAAATAATACATCTTGAATGGGTAACAGTAGCAATTATATAACAATAATATAATTATGTACAGTAACACATCACAAGGAACAACATGTGGGGAGGGAGGGAAGGAGGGGAGGGAGAGAGAGAGAGAGAGAGAGAGAGAGAGAGAGAGAGAGAGAGAGAGAGAGAGAGAGAGAGAGAGAGAGAGAGAGAGAGAGACAGACAGACCGCTGGCTGTGCTTGCACAACATACCTTCTTGAGAAACTCTTCTCCCTGTTTCAGGAGTTCCTCTTCTCTTTTCTTTTAGCTTCACGTTTTCGTAGCTCCTCTTCCAACCTCTTCTTCTCCTCTTCGATCCTCTTCAGCGACTCGGACTGTCTCCTTGCTTCCTCCTCGGCCATTAGTTTATCATGCTCCTCTCGTCTCTTCCTTCGTTCTTTTCTGTGTTCTTCTTCTTCCTTCAGTCGTGCTTCTTCTTCTTCTATTTCCTTCTGTTTTCGTCGTCTTCTTTCTGCCTGCTCTTTATCTGCTCTTTTTCGCTTTTCTTCCTCTTTTCGCTTTCGAATGTTTTCTTCCTCTTCTAATTCTCTTCGTCTTCTCTCCTTTCTTTCTTCATCGTCTCTCTTATATTTTTCTTCCAGTTCCCTCATAGCCTTCTCCTCTTCTAATCTTCTCTGCCTTCGTTTTTCTCGTCTCTCTTCCTCTTCTTTCAGCATTCTTTCATCTTCCTCCTTTTGTAATTTTTCCTGTTCCTCCTTTCGTTTCTTCAGTCTTAATTTCCTTTCTTTCTCTTCTTTTTGTTGCCGTTCCTCTTCTTCCTTCATTAGCTTCTCTTGTTCTTCCCTATGTTTTCTTCTTTTCTCAGCCCTCTCCTCCTCTTGTTTCTTTTGTTTCTCTAACTCTTCCATCCTCTGTTTATTTTCCTCTTCTATTTTCTTTTTCCTCTTTCTCTGCCATCTCCTTTTCTTCTCTTTCTAACCTCTCCATCTCTTCTTTATGCTTCAGTTTCTCTCTCCTGGCACGTTCCTCCTCCTGCTGTCTCAGTAATCTGTTCTTCCTCTCTCTTCCTTCTGCTCCGTCTCTCCTGTCTCCTTCCTGGGATTTCCTCCTTGCGTCTCAACTCTCGGGCTCGCACGGCGCTCGTGTCCTTGGACGCACTTGTCCGTGAACCTTTGGGTGGTGATCGACCTCGAAGGCCTGCCTCGGCACCTGCTTCAGTAGTTTACTGGCTTGTAGGTCACTGCTCGGAGGTCACTGCCCTGTAGTACCTACTCTTCATCTTGCTAGCTCGTCCTCTACGCGCTTGATCTCCTCCTTCTCGAAGTTCGACCTCGGCAACCTAGTTCGCTTCGTCTTTAATGGCTCCGACTTTTTCGTCCTTGTCTGGAGTTTCTCCTGTTTCCTCTTGAGCTTTCATAGCCTCGACCTAGCCTTCTCTTTACTCCTCCAACCACTCGCAAGCCTCTTTTCATCTTTCGCCGGTTGATCTTGACTTCTTCCTCTCCTTACTTTCTCATGAGACTTTGTCTCTTGCAGACTGGCCTCTTTACTACTCTTAGCGTCAGGCCTTTCTCTTTGCATCCGGCCTTTTCTTCTTCTTTGGGTTCTGGCTTTCTTTCTCAGTTGATTCCTCTCTGAGCTTGCTTTCTTCTTCCTGATAGACTTCTCTTTGCTTCTTCCAAGAGCCTTGTTCTCTCCTTGACAGCTTGGTTTTCTTCCTTCTTGCGATTGCCTTTTCTACTTCCTTGGCAGACTTGGCCTTTCTTTTCCCTTGCAGATTGGCCTTTTCTCTTCCCTTGGCAGACTTGGCCTTTTCTTCTTCCTTGACAGACTTGGCCTTTTCTTTTTCCTTGGCAGATTTGACCTTTTCCTCTTCCTTGGCAGACTTGGCTTTTTCTTCTTCCTTGATAGATTTGGCCTTTTCTTCTTCCTTGACAGATTTGGCCTTTTCTTCTTCCTTGACAGACTTGGCCTTTTCTTCTTCCTTGGCAGATTTGACCTTTTCCTCTACCTTGGCAGACTTGGCCTTTTCTCTTCCTTGGCAGACTTGGCCTTTTCTTCTTCCTTGGCAGATTTGACCTTTTCCTCTTCCTTGGCAGACTTGGCCTTTTCCTCTTCCTTGGCAGACTTGGCCTTTTCCTCTTCCTTGGCAGACTTGGTCTTTCTTCTTCTTACGATTCTTTCTTCTTCCTGGAAGACTTGGCCTTTTCTTCTTCCTTGACAGACTTGGCCTTTTCTTTTTCCTTGGCAGATTTGACCTTTTCCTCTTCCTTGGCAGACTTGGCTTTTCTCTTCTTTGCAACTTGGACTTTTGCTCTTCTTGAGATTGGCCTTTTCTTCTTCCTTGACAGACTTGGCCTTTTCTTCTTCCTTGACAGATTTGGCCTTTTCTTCTTCCTTGGCAGACTTGGCTTTTTCTTCTTCCTTGGCAGACTTGGCCTTTTCCTCTACCTTTGCAGACTTGACCTTTTCCTCTACCTTGGCAGACTTGGCCTTTTCCTCTTCTTTGGCAGACTTGGACTTTTCCTCTTCCTTGGCAGACTTGGTCCTTTTCCTTCTTCCTTGACAGATTGGCCTTTTCTTCTTCCTTGACAGACTTGGCTTTTCTTCTTCCTTGGCAGACTTGGCCTTTTCCTCTACCTTGGCAGACTTGACCTTTTCCTCTACCTTGGCAGACTTGGCCTTTTCCTCTTCCTTGGCAGACTTGGACTTTTCCTCTTCCTTGGCAGACTTGGCCTTTTCCTCTTCCTTGGCAGACTTGGCCTTTTCTTCTTCCTTGACAGATTTGGCCTTTTCTTCTTCCTTGGCAGACTTGGCTTTTTCTTCTTCCTTGGCAGACTTGGCCTTTTCCTCTACCTTTGCAGACTTGACCTTTTCCTCTTCTTTGGCAGACTTGACCTTTTCTCCTACCTTGGCCTTTTCCTCTTCCTTGGCAGACTTGACCTTCTCCTCTTCCTTGGCAGCCTTGGCCTTTTCCTCTTCCTTGGCAGACTTGGCCTTTTCTTCTTCCTTGACAGACTTGGCCTTTTCCTCTATCTTGGCCTTTTCCTCTTCCTTGGCAGACTTGACTTTTTCTTCTTCCTTGACAAATTTGGCCTTTTCCTCTTCCTTGGCAGACTTGGCCTTTTCTTCTTCCTTGACAGACTTGGCCTTTTCCTCTATCTTGGCCTTTTCTTCTTCCTTAGCAGATCTGGCCTTTTCCTCTTCCTTGACAGACTTGACCTTTTCCTCTTCCTTGGCAGACTTGGCCTTTTCCTCTATCTTGGCCTTTTCTTCTTCCTTAGCAGATTTGGCCTTTTCCTCTTCCTTGACAGACTTGGCCTTTTCCTCTTCCTTGGCAGACTTGGCCTTTTCTTCTTCCTTGGCAGACTTGGCCTTTTCCTCTATCTTGGCCTTTTCTTCTTCCTTAGCAGATCTGGCCTTTTCCTCTTCCTTGACAGACTTGACCTTTTCTTCTTCCTTGACAGACTTGGCCTTTTCCTCTATCTTGGCCTTTTCTTCTTCCTTAGCAGATTTGGCCTTTTCCTCTTCCTTGGAAGACTTAACCTTTTCCTCTTCCTTGGCAGACTTGGCCTTTTCCTCTTCCTTGGCAGACTTGGCCTTTTCCTCTTCCTTGGCAGACTTGGCCTTTTCCTCTTCCTTGGCAGACTTGGCCTTTTCCTCTTCCTTGGCAGACTTGGCCTTTTCATCTTCCTTGGCAGACTTGGCCTTTTCATCTTCCTTGGCAGACTTGGCCTTTTCCTCTTCCTTGGCGGACTTGGCCTTTTCCTCTTCCTTTACAGACTTAGCCTTTTCTTCCTCCTTGACAGACTTAGCTTTTTCTTCCTCCTTGACAGACTTAGCCTTTTCTTCCTCCTTGGCAGACTTAGCCTTTTCTTCCTCCTTGACAGACTTAGCCTTTTCTTCCTCCTTGACAGACTTAGCCTTTTCTTCTTCCTTGACAGATTTAGCCTTTTCTTCTTCCTTGACAGATTTAGCCTTTTCTTCTTCCTTGACAGATTTAGCCTTTTCTTCTTCCTTGACAGACTTAGCTTTTTCTTCCTCCTTGACAGACTTAGCCTTTTCTTCCTCCTTGACAGACTTAGCTTTTTCTTCCTCCTTGACAGACTTAGCCTTTTCTTCCTCCTTGACAGACTTAGCCTTTTCTTCTTCCTTGACAGATTTAGCCTTTTCTTCTTCCTTGACAGATTGAGCGTTTTCTTCTTCCTTGACAGATTTAGCCTTTTCTTCTTCCTTGACAGACTTAGCCTTTTCTTCCTTGACAGACTTAGCCTTTTCTTCTTCCTTGACAGATTTAGCCTTTTCTTCTTCCTTGACAGACTTAGCCTCTTCTTCCTTGACAGGCTTGGCCTTTTCTTCTTCCTTGACAGATTTAGCCTTTTCTTCTTCCTTGACAGACTTAGCCTTTTTCTTCTTGCCTTCTTCCTGGCAGATTAGTTTAAGGGCCTTTTCTTCTTCCTTGACAGACTTAGCCTCTTCTTCCTTGACAGGCTTGGCCTTTTCTTCTTCCTTGGCAGATTTAGCTATTTCCTCCTTAGCTGCAATCTTTTCCCCTTTCAATTTATTGTCTTCAAGTTTTCTTTTCTTTTAATTCAGATTTTTCTTCTTCCTTGATAGATTTATCTTTTTCTTCTTTCACTTTAGCTTTCCCCTCTTTCACTTTAGACTTTTCTTCTGCCTCTTTTCCAACCTTAGCTGTGTCTGTATCCCTATATTCAGCCTTTTCTTCTTTTACTTTAGCCTTATCTTCTTCCTTGGTAGGTTTAGCTTTTTCTGCTTCCTTAGCTTCAGCCTTTTCTTCTTTCACTTTAGACTCGTCTTCGGTTTCGGTCTTGGTTTTTCCTTCCTTCACTTCAGCCTTTCCTTCTTTCAATTCAGGTTTTCTCTCGGCTTCATTTACAGAATCAGCCTTTTCTTCCTTAACTTCAAGCTTTTTCTTCTTTCTTGACAGATTTAACGTCTTTCGTTTGCTTCCGCCTTGTGTTCTTTTAATTTAGACTTTTCTTCCTTGGCAAATTTAGCTTCCTGTTCTTTCAATTTATCGTTGTCTTCATCCACCTTTGCAAACTTAGCTTTGCCATCATCCATCACTTTATCCCTGTCATCTTTGTCTTCTGCCTCCTTTGTAGACTTGGGTTTGTCTGCTTCCTTTACCTCAAACTTTGTATCCTTTGGTTCAGACTTGTCTTGAGTCTTCTTCTCTTGTCCCCTGTCTTCAAGAAACTTAGCCTTCTTATCCTCTTCCTTTAGTGGAGCCTTTACTTCTTCACTGACTGGAATACCACTGTCCTTGACGCTAGGCTTCTCTCCTTCCTTAGTTTCGATCTCCTTTGCTTTTGGCTCCTTTTCTTTAAATCTATCTGCTTCCAGATCTTCCCTGGCAGATATATCATCTGCCTTAATGCTGGCTTCTTTACGTTCCTTTATCTCGAGAGAAGCAGCTTCCCTGTCGTCCTCCTGAAGCTCGGAGACGACAGCCTCCTCAGCAACAGCGAGAGACGCAGCCTCACCTTCCTTCATACTTGCCCTCTTGCTTTCTTTAGCCTCAGATATTTTTGCTTTCTGTTCTTCTGGTTTCAACATGGCCTCCTCCTGCGCCTCCTTGATAGCTTTCTTGGAGGCAGCCTTAGGGGCTTTGGCCTTCTTATCATCCATGGATACAATCTCAGTTTTAGCTTTATCATCCTTGGAGACAGCTTCAGGAGATTTAGCTTCATCCTTGGAGACAGCTTCAGGAGATTTAGCTTCATCCTTGGAGACAGCTTCAGGAGATTTAGCTTCATCCTTGGAGACAGCTTCAGGAGATTTAGCTTCACCTTGGAGACAGCTTCAGGAGATTTAGCTTCATCCTTGGAGACAGCTTCAGGAGATTGATTTAAAACTTCTCTTAATCCTTGGAGACAGCTTCAGGGATTTAGCTTTCTTATCCTTGGAGATAGCTTCAGGGGATTTAGCTTTCTTTTCATCCTTGGAGACAGCTTCAGGAGATTTAGCTTTCTTCATCCTTGGAGATAGCTTCAGGGGATTTAGCTTTCTTATCCTTGGAGACAGCTTCAGGAGATTTAGCTTTATCATCCTTGGAGATAGCTTCAGGGTATTTAGCTTTCTTATCCTTGGAGACAGCTTCAGGAGATTTAGCTTTCTCGTCATCTTTGGAGACAGCTTCAGGAGATTTAGCTTTATCATCTCATCAGATTCAGGAGATTTAGCTTCATCCTTGGAGACAGCTTCGGGAGATTTAGCTTTCTTATCCTTGGATACAGCTTCAACTTTAGCTTTCTTCTCATCAACAGGCACAGCTTTAGCTTTTTCATCAATAGTCACAGCTTCAGCTTTAGCTTTCTTCTCATCAACAGGCACAGCTTCAGCTTTCTTTCTCCTCATCAACTGTCACAGCTTCAGCTTTAGCTTTCTTCTCATCAACTGTCACAGCTTCAGCTTTAGCTTTCTTCTCAACAGTCACAGCTTCATCTTTAGCTTTTTCATCAACAGTCACAGCTTCAGCTTTCTTCTCATCAACAGTCACAGCTTCAGCTTTATCAAAAGTAACAGCTTCAGCTTTATCATCAATAGACACAGCTTTAGCTTTCTTTTCACAAATAGACACAGCTTCAGTTTTAGCTTTCTTCTCATCAACAGGAACAGCTTCAGCTTTAGCTTTCTTCTCATCAACAGGCACAGCTTCAGCTTTAGCTTTCTTCTCATCAACTGTCACAGCTTCAGCTTTCTTCTCATCAACAGTCACAGCCTCAGCTTTAGCTTTCTTATCAACAGGCACAGCTTCAGCTTTAGCTTTCTTCTCAACAGGCACAGCTTCAGCTTTAGCTTTCTTCTCATCAACAGGCACAGCTATAGCTTTCTTCTCATCAACTGTCACAGCTTCAGCTTTAGCTTTCTTCTCATCAACAGGCACAGCTTCAGCTTTAGCGTTCTTCTCATCAACGGTCACAGCTTCAGCTTTCTTCTCATCAACAGGCACAGCTTCAGCTTTAGCTTTTTTCTCATAAATAGTCACAGCTTCAGCTTTCTTCTCAACAGTCACAGCTTCAACTTTAGCTTTCTTTTCATCAACAGGCACAGCTTCAGCTTTAGCTTTCTTCTCATCAACAGGCACAGCTTCAGCTTTAGCTTTCTTCTCATCAACAGGCACAACTTCAGCTTTAACTTTTTTCTCATCAATAGTCACAGTTTCAGCTTTCTTCTCATCAACAGTCACAGCTTCAGCTTTCTTCTCATCAACAGTCACAGCTTTAGCTTTTTCATCAGCCGGCACAGCTTCAGCTTTAGCTTTCTTTTCATCAACAGTCACAGCTTCAACTTTAGCTCTTTTCTCATCAATAGTCACAGCTTTCTTCTCATCCCTGGAGACAGCTTCAGGAGACTTAGCTTTATCATCCTTGGAAGCTGGTCTGGCTTCTCCGGCCTTTGTTTCCAGGTTTAGTGAAAGGTCTACTGAAGCCTCGTCTCTGTCGTAGGTCTGACCCTTCTTCAGCGAGACAGTTGCATCTGCTGAGACAGCACACTCCTCAGATGTTTGTGCTGTGTCTTCAGGCTGAGCACCGCTAACTTCGTTGATATCATACAGTGACAAGCGTTTTTGGGATTTAGCTTTCTTATCCTCCATGACAGCTGCTTCTGGAGACTTAGCTTTCTTATCCTCCATGACAGCTGTTTCGGGAGACTTAGCTTTCTTATCATCCATGACAGCTGCTTCGGGAGACATAGCTTTCTTATCCCCGACAGCCGCTTCGGGAGATTTAGCTTCTTTATCCTCCATGACACCTGCTTCGGGAGACTTTGCTTTATCATCCATGACAGCTGCTTCAGGGGACTTAGCTTTCTTCTCATCTGTGACAGCTGCTTCATAAGACTTGACTTTCTTATCATCCATGACAGCTGCTTTTTTATCATCCTTCAAAACAACTTTGTCAGATTTGGGCTCATCACCCTCGGTAACAGCTTCGCGTGAAAGTCTGTCTTCTCTCACCCTCGCTTCCAGTTCTAGTGAAAGATCTACTGAAGCCTCGTTTCTCCCGAAGGTCTGACCCTTCTTCAGCGACAATGTTGCGTCTGTCGAGACAGAAGACTCCTCGTATTTCTTGTACTTTGTCTAGAGCCTGTGTACCACCATCTTTGTTGGTATCGTCCATGGAGCTATTAATTTTGGCTTTCGTGTCCTTATCATCAAATGCAGTTTCAGGTTTGATTTTCTTATCCACTGATATAACCTCTGGAGATTTGGGCTTCTTATCATCCTTCGAAATTGCTTCGGGATGTTTGGCCTTATCTATAGAGACAACCTCAGGAGATATACCTCTATCATCCTTAGAGACAACTTCAGGAGACTTTTCCCTTTTATCATCCTTGGCAACAGCTTCAGAAGACTTCGCCTTTTTATCATCCTTGGTAACGGCTTTAGTAGACTTTACCTCATCATCCTTCGAGACGGCTTCAGCAGATTTGACATCATCCTTGGAAGCAGGTTCAGGTTTGATTTTCCTCTCATCTTTGGCAGCTGGTCTGGCTTCTCCCGCCTTTGTTTCCAGTTCTAGTGAAAGATTTACTGATACCTCGTCTCTGTCGTAGGTCTGACCCTTCTTCAGCGACACAGACGCATCTGCTGAGACTGCGGACTCCTCAAATGCTTGTGTTTTGTCTTCAGACTGACTAACAGTTGCAGTGCTGTCAGGTTCCTCCTGATACTCCACCTCGTTTGCTACTTTAGTTTCAACAGTTGCTTGTCTAGCCGAAACTTTTGAGTCTTCAGTAACTGCTGTTCTTTTCTTTGCGGCAACGTCGGAAATCTTTTGACTTTTGTTATCGACTACCTTAACTTCTTCAGTAGCGTCTTGCATTTTCACTTTTCCTTCTAATGCCTGGACCTTATGCTCTTCATCTACCGTAACTTCTCCTACGCTTTCTGACATACTGGACTCTCCTAACGCTGCTTCCATCATTTTTGAAGTTTTCTGAAACTGTAATTCTGTTTCCTTCAAAGAAGCCTCAAGGCCAATCAATTTGGTTTCCTTCTTCCCGTTCAAGTCTAGTGAAAGATGAGCTGTAGCTTCATCCTTATCATAAACCTTGCCCTTCTTCAGCGATACTGTTGCATCAGACGACAGCAAGGACTCTGCCTGTTCTGGTCCTACAGGTTCTCCATCAGCTGAAGGAACTTTACCCTCAATTACATCCTTTCCGGGTTTCATCGCTTCCACGTAAGTTTCGAGAGCACTGGAAGAATCGGTGCTGATTTCACTGGTGGTAGTAAGTTCACTGGAAGGTTCCTCACTTGTTTCTCGATTCTTCATAATTGCCTCTTGCTTAGCAAGCAATTCTTGCTTTTTTGCTAAAATTTCTTGTTTCTTTGCAGCCAAGCTATCTTTCACTGAACTTGCTTCCTGTTTTTTATCATCCAATTCTATCTGATCTTTCTGTAAGCTTGCTTCATCAGCTGCTTGTTCTTGTCCTATCTTTTCTTGGTTACTTAGTACAGGTTCTTCAGAGGTTTCTAAGGAAGCGCCTGCCTCTGTTTCGTTATCACCGGTGTCTTTGCCAACTACAACACCAACTTTCTTGGAAGGAGCAGTTAGTTTCAGATCCTCGGTAGACTCTTTATGCTCAACAATTTCTTCAACTTTCGCCGCCTTCAGTCCTATCGCGGTTACTACAGATGATTTCAATTCGGAAACTTTAGCAGCTATTGTCGATTTCAAATTTCCAACGACGCTCGACTTCTTGCGGGAGACTGTTTTGCTCTCAGAAATTTCCTCTTTTTCTTCTAAAGGCTCTTCCCCTGAGAATTCTTTCTGCTGAGATACAGATTTCTCTTGTGCTGTCCCACTCTCCTCTTCCTTTGTCTTCTCCTGTGGTACATCTTTTAAAGACACAGCCTCTTCTCCCGGTGTACCAACTGCTCGTAGTTTCTTTTTAGCTTTAGTTTTCTCATCATCTTCCTCTGTTGTCTCCTCCAGTGTACCAATTGCTCGAAGCTTCTTTTTAGATTCAGTTTTCTCATCTTCCTCTGTTGTCACCTCCTGTGGCAAATCTTTTAAAGACACAACCTCTTCTCCTGGTGTGCCAACTGCTCGTAGTTTCTTTTTATATTTAGTTTTCTCATCTTCCTCTGTTGTCTCTTCTAGTGTACCAATTGCTCGCAGCAGCTTTTTAGAATCAGTTTTCTCATCATCTTTCTCTGTTGTCTCCTGTGGCAAATCTTTTGAAGACACACCCTCTTCTCCTGGTGTACCAACTGCTGCGCAGCTTCTTTTTAGGAGATTCAGTTTCCTCGTCATGTTCCTCGACACTAACTTCATAGGTCACAATTTTATCTTGGGACGTACCCCTCTTTTGGGAGGGAACCTTCTTTTCCTGTTCAACTTCCTGCTCCTGTAAAGCAGATTTGTCTTCTGGAGCCATTACGCTATCTTTTGTGATGACTTTTGCAGGCTTTATTTCTTTACTTTATAATCAAAAGTCTCCTCAGTGAGAATCTCTTCTAATATTTCAGCCTCTTTCTGTACTTGTTCATCGCTTGCTTTCCGCTTTTTTCTGCATAACTTTGGCTCCTTCCGCATTAGTTTCTTCAGTAACGTCAGCTGCTATGTCAGCCTTGTCTACTGCAGCCTTCTTGCTTTTTTCATTAGACTTTTCCACCACTTTAACAATCTTGGGCTCTTCAGTTTCAAGTGATTCTGAGGTGAGTGACTCACTACTTGGTGTTCTGGATATTTTGCCTTCTTTTCTTGAACGAAGAATTTCCATCTTTGCCTGAAGCTCCTCCTTTCTTGCTTGAATCTGTTCCGGTGTCAAGCCTGCGGCTACTGCTCCTGTGATATCCTTAGCATCTTTTGCCTTAGTACCGTCTGTAGGTTCCTGTTCCATTTTTGCTTTCTTTGCTACTGCTTCATCTACTTGAGATATAACTGAATGTCCTTTAGATGATGCCATTACCTTTTCATCTTCAAAAGCAGATTCAGCTGCAGATCGCTTTTTATCTCTGGTCTCTACGGTCTTTTGCACTCCACCAATATCCATTTCTGCTATTACTGGTGGCTCTCCCACTGTGGCAGATTCAGCAGCTCCTTCGACAATACCAGCAACAGCTCTTTCTGGCTGAGCTGCCGGTCGCTGCGATACAATTGCGGCCTCTGATTGCAAGTCAGCCTCTTGCACCACGATGCATTCTACCAATGAACCACTTCGTTCCTCAGCTACTGTCAACATGTGTGACATGTCTTCTTTGTTAAATACATTAAGATTTGCAATATCAACATCAGCCTCGTGCACCACGAGTGCTTCTCTGGTTGTATCAGTCAAGACTTGGGCTCTATCACTCATGGCTCGCATATAATCAGTCATATCTCTGATATCACCAGACATTCCCACCTGCTCGTAACCTTCCACAGCCTCGTGTAAAGCCTGGTGAGCGTAAGCCTGCGTCTCCTGCCCACTCAATAATGTAAGGTCAACAGCTTGGGCAAATCCTTCTCTAACAGACACAGCCAATGCCTCGCGGAGACTAGGGTCTAATTGCATAGCCATTTGTTGCTCTGGTGTGTAACCCATATAGGCCTCTGCGTGTTCGAAGCCATACTGCTCGGCTTGTTGCACTGGTTCCAACATGGAATGAAGTTCACTGACATCGGCCTCAGTTTCTTCGGCCTGGAAATATTGAGGAATGTCCTGGGAGGCAGTATAATATTCTTGCTCCTGTTGCTGAGCTACGCCAGCAGCAGAAACTATACCAGCCTTTGCCTTCTGAGCTTTGGCATGTTTTTCTTTCAGGCTCTTCGGAACCTGACCACTTACTTCAGCTTCCTCTATCATCACAGCTTCGTGCTGGGTGGCATCTTTCACTCGAGCATGTTGAAGGCTTGCTGCCTCAGTTTCCAAGGTGGCCACATCTTCCATCACCTCCTCACTGGCAACCTCGAAGCTCTTTCGTTCTGGGATAATTGCTTTAGCCTTTACTGATTTGATTTCTTGCTCAGATAGCAGCGTTGCCTCTCCTTCATATATTTCAGGTGACTGAATAATAACTGCTGCACCTTCAACTTGAGTTTTCTTTACAGAAGCTTTTTTTGCTTTCTTCGATGGTCTTTCTTCAGAGTTCATAGACTTGGCTTGTTCCATTGCTTCTGGAGAGGTCACGGCTACAGCTTCTTGTGTAACAAAGCTAGGATATCGCTCAACAACTTTACTAATATTGGTTATGTCTGAAAGAGTACCTCCCTCAGAGAGGAACTGCTGTTCCTCTGCCACTGCCACTTCACGTGCCTCAATGGACCGTTTAGCTTGTTTTCTCTCAACTGTCTCACTTTTCATTTTTTCTATTCCGGCTAATACTGCTTGTTCTTCTGCTTGGGCGACTTTTAAACCTGAAACCTGAGCTTTTGCCAAGGTTGGACGAGCTGTATCAGTGATTAGTGACTTGGGTCCAGCACTTATTACATGTGCCTCTTCAATACCAATAGCTTCACCTCTGCCAAGAACATGTTTTTCTTCACCGTATTCTCGCAATAAACTTAAACCTTGCTCACTGAGAGACCTGAGATCATGTTGAAGCACGTCCTGCTCACTAATGTGAGCAACAGCTTTGCCGTCTACCGATACCGTGTGTGCAGACAAGTGTTCCTCTTCCCACATCTCCATCTCGGGAAGATCTGCAATATCGGAACGCAGTGCTTCCCGTTCTTCTACAACCACTGCTTCCATGGCTGACAGCTCTTCTACGTCTGCTCGGTGCGAGCGTCATCATACACAATGTCTGCCATACTCATGTATTCGTCGAAGGCCTCGTTCTCCACGTCAATGACCATGGCTTCCATGATAAGTGGACCCTTACAAGACGTTTCCCGTGTGAAGCGAAGAGGAGGCAGCTCCGCTTGATTACTCTCGTGTGCTGCAACAATGATAAGTGATGAACCAAACTCATTTTATTTGTATCTAACGGTAAAATGAAATAAAACATCAGTGTTTTCTGCCTCTTACAATTATTAATATATATATATATATATATATATATATATATATATATATATATATATATATATATATATATATATATATATATATATATATAATATATATATTTTAAAAGTATTTACAATTTAAAAACTCAAAGATTCTAATCAAATGAAAGTTCACGCCCTAACTACATAATGTTTAAAAGTATATAAAAAGAGCACTGCAGCAAGCCTACCGGCCCATGCTTGGCACGTTCTACTCCCACAAACACATTCCCACCCATGTAGATAAATGGTTCAGAGAACGGGCATTTGTCTAATCTACTTAAGGTATCAAATTTAATGATGCTACTTCTCAGTGTTTCACTCTACATTTTTTTTTTATCAGACCAGTGCTTGTCTATATCTTCCCTAAACCGGAATTTAACTTGAGTCCCCTTATTTTGAGTTTTTTTTTTTTTTGCTAAATAATGTCAACATTATTACCTTTTGTGTAAAGATGATTCAGTTTAGTATACACTGTGTTACGTACCTGACAAATGATCAGAAATTTCATCAGCATAGATTTCAGCAATTTGCTTAGCTTCCGCCTCTGAAATATCTGGTGTCTCGTAGAGTGAGAGGGAGACTTCTCTGCCATCAATACTAAGAGAGACGTCGGCTCTCTCTTCCTCAGAGGCCTCAGATACAGCAGACTCGTACACAGAGATCTGCGAGGAGCGCTCCTCGTTGATGGTGGAGAGTGAAGGGTTCCTGGCGATGCCGCGAGCGTCAGCCAGACCCACCGCCTCAGCCATCTTGTCTCCTCCCTTCTGTAGTAATTTATCTGAAGGTAAGATTTGGGATAAAATTATTTTTTATATTCATGGAGTGCCGCCAAACCCACAGGAGTCATACATCACTTTGGGAATGGGAGGCAATCAGGTTTGATTCGTTCTTTAAACAATCTTATTTTTATATTGACAGCAAAGCTTCTGTCAGGACAAATACTTATTAGTTAATGTTTTCCATTCAAAAAAAAAAAGTCTTCAAAAATACAAAAAAAAATACTTGAGAAAATGTATGTAACTGGAAAAACTGCAGTATTCGAAACTTTTGTCACGTGTCTACTAATCTAACAACAGATGATGGCGAAATGTGTATATTTCTTTGGGTCACCTACCTGGTGGGAAACGGCCTACAGTCAACTGTATTTTTCCAGGCACAGAGGTGGTCCAAAATGCACAGTGTTTGTACTCTCATATCTTTACTATGAATCATATTACGATGATAATGTTAAGGAAGTTGTTGCAACTCACCTTCGAAGCCGAGGAGAGCGGCGGACGAGGAGGAGGAACCCATGATGTTGAAGGCCTCGCAGGTGTAGGTGCCCAGGCAGCAGGTACCATCTTCCCCGCTTATGATCCTGTGGATGTCTCCAGGCTGCAGCTCCACGCCATCTTTGTACCACTTGAGCACCGGCTGAGGCACGCCAATCACCTGTGACACCCCAGAAACATTCCTTACCACACTGTCTCGCATTTACTGATATTCAAATGCGGATAACTTTCACTGACTCATGAATTACAAGTGACTGAATTTTGTTGAAAGTCTTAGATTAATACATAAAACTTTCTTAAGAAGAATAAAAAAACGTTTGCGTATATATAAGAATATTTTTATTATTTCATAATAACGCGAAAATATTAGATTTTGCCACCTGAGTGGCTAGTTTATTGTGCACCCCATTATGTAAGACAACACAAGAACATATGGATCCATAAACGGCCAAACAGAAGTACATCTGATATCGTATCATTTACAATTCGCCATTATTTAATACTATCGAACCACATTACATGGCTTCCTCGGTTGAAATGTTGAAGAGGACATGTGATATAACTAAATGATACAGATTTTATCATAAGAATATCTGCACGATTTATTTTTTCTAAAAACTATTGCAAAGTAATAGATAACTTGCAATATTCCTATAATACCGACAAGTAGATAAGTATGATACATAAACCAGGAAACGGATGGGGGTTGAATCCATGACTAGTTAGTCCTAAAATTCCATATGCAACAACTGGTTAGAGATAATATATTTAGTGAAGGCATTGAGTCTCACCTTACACTCAAGGTTGACAGTTCCCTCCTGTGAGAGGACTGCCCGGAGAGGTTCCAGGAAGACAGGCTTCTTGTAGTGTCTGGGAATGACCAACTTGACGGAGGCGGCGGTGACGCTGTGACCATAATCATTGCTGGCCACACACTTCCACTCTCCCTGCATCATAACCACACCATCAATACACGCTGACACAAATGGCGTACTGCCGACACTTTTTGGTAACAAAAGACACATAGCAAAATGTATCTCTGTTAAGAGCTTTATTAAATCGCATTGATAAAGAAGCCCATCTTAATTATAGCTAGCATTTCACAGTCAAATGGGTTACTGATAAAAAGTCTTAATATAGTGATTAACTGATATTTTCAAAGCGCTAGTGAGGGGGGGGGGGGGTAAGGAGTCCTCGTTTTCTGTTCGTGCGTCAGAACTTTTTATCGCTTATATCTTGCATTCATTTACTGTCGTTGAGGTACGTTATAAGTTATTTTTAACTGACAGAGGATTATATAACCTAACTAAACCTTACTAAACTTAACCTAAGTTAAATAACGTAAATCGAGATATCTGCCGAAAGGAAGAAAAAATTGGTCGGTTCCTGAACAGACAGGATTTATTATCATGGGAAGTGCTAAACCCGTAGGGATTATGCAGCACTTATGGGGAGATGATGGAAGGCATTCAGGCTCAATTCAAGGAACTGGAGAATAGATCCAATTCCCTAGATCAAGAGTCCCTCACCAGCGTCAAGGACCCTCCCCTGAGGGGTGAACAGGCAGGAAGAGAAAATTGGTCGACTCCTGAATAGACAGGAAGAGAAAATTAGTCGGCTCCTGAATAGACAGGAAGAGAAAATTAGTCGGCTCCTATGCCAGAAATCTACAAAGAATTAATGGGGAATGTTAGTTATAGGGCGCCTCTCTTGAGCGAAACGTCACAGCAACAGCCTGTTGTGTCACGTAGTACATACGGTGTTCCCTGCTGTTACTAGTACGCCATCTATATCCAACAAACTCAGAGTGAATTTGTTCCTTCTTGTGACTAACATTCTGTGAAAACTCAGTTGACGGCAGCTCTTTAATAGGACAAATACCTCTCGAAGGCAATTGAGGGGAGGTATCTTGATGCTAGTGAAGGGCTCCCAATCCAAGGAATTGAAGCTACCCTTCCTTTACTCGGATCAAACCTGATTACCTCCCATTTCGAAAGGCGCTGTATGACCCTTAAAACTTTAGCACTTGGCCATGATAATAATAATATAATATAATAATTATTATTATTATTATTATTATAATCGGACAAAATCGAAAAAATCTCAGAAAAAAGTTTTGTAAACAATGTAAATTCAGAGGAAAGACGAACAGATACATGGATATTATTACAACAATTATTTTTATTATTATTATTATTATTATGGGAAAGAACTAAACCTGTATACATCATACAGCGTCTGGGAAATGGTTTGATCCAAAGGAAGAATAGCTCCACTTCCTTAAATGAAGAGCTCTTCACCGTTATCAATACACTTCCCTCCTCACTGAATAGAGGCCAGGTATAAGAGCACTTAATATAAGAAATTAAAATATATTCAGCAACATCCATGAGTTTCTGTATACATTCAAAGGATGAATAAATGAATGACGTGAAGAATAAAAGTCACAATACCATGATTGGAACGAGTCACAATTAACTCTCAAATTGTATATTAGAAATGAGCAATGTTTCAGCCCATCCCGGGTGAAAAAAAAAATCTAACTCCTTTTGACGTTATGATGATCCAGCATAGACCGAAATGTTTACTATCATTTTCAGTATGGGGGTTTGGTGTGAAATGTGTAAAAAAAAAAAATACAAAAAATTACTTCGAATCTTGAAAGCCAAGTTATTAATAAGAAAAAGTTTACTAAGAGGGGGGAAGAGAGAGAGAGAGAGAGAGAGAGAGAGAGAGAGAGAGAGAGAGAGAGAGAGAGAGAGAGGAGAGAGAGAGAGAGAGAGAGAGAGAGAGAGAGAGAGCTATATCAGCTTGGGGAAATAGATGGCAAGTAACATTTGCACCTGAGAAAACGCAAATGATGATCGTCTCTAGGCACCATGATGGTAACGCTGGTGCAGTAGTAAGGATGAATGGGAGGATGTTGGCACCTGGAGAAGAAGTTGATATCCTTGGGGTGATATTTGACTCCAAACTAACCATGAAGAACCATGTTGTAAATCTTGCAAACAAGGCAGCCAGGAAGCTTACAGCACTTCGCCGTATCTCCCATCTGCTTGGCAGTAGGGGTTGCAAGATCCTGTACGAGGCACAAGTACGCTCACACCTTGAGTATGCTCCACTTTCTTGTTTTGCCTGCCCCCCTCTCATCTGCGACTGCTTGACAGAGTAGAGAACAGAGCAAGACGTCTCATCTCTCGCCTGGACCCATCCTGGATAGATCTGTCATTTCAGTAGAGCCTTCAACATAGGAGGGATGTGGGTGGCCTTACTGTTATGTACAAGGCCAATATTGTCAAAATACCACACTTGGATCCACTTCGAGGACAGCGTGAAACAAGCTTTTATGCCACAAGACGGGCAGAAAGCAGCAACTTCACTCTGGCTGTACCCTTCTCCAGAACATCACTCCATCTGAGATCATACATACCCAGGATGACTCGAGTATGGAACACATTCGTACAGGATAATGATGTCAACGAGATAAAGTCAGTTGATAAAATGAAAATGCTGGCCCACAGATGGCTCCAACTTCATCCTGTTTCCTACTTGTATGTCTCATAACAATAAAAATGCTTTCAAATGAGCTGATGTAGGTAACAGCTCTTAGTTTGCCAATAAAGTTAGGAATCCTTAACCTGTAAATAGCTGTCAATAAAGCTAGGGATCCTTAACCTTGTCAAACCCTGTGTAAAAAAAAAAAGAGAGAGAGAGAGAGAGAGAGAAAGGGTGCAGTAATTATGACATTTACCAAGCACTGACCTCGTACCTCACTCAGCACCCACAGTCATTATAAAATATACATACAACACAATGAAAAAAGGATAAAACAATAACAACTCACATTAACATTCAATACAAATAAATATTATCATACCAGTTTAAAACAGGCGACATCAATTAAACCCTTTATTAAATTATTAATGTCAAAAGAGTCTCCTTGAGTGAGAGAAAGACAGAAGGGTTTAGGCTCCCCACCTGGTCGGTGATCTGCAGGCACGCTACGTCCAGGTGGAAGATGCCAGGATCGTCTTTACACATGTGGTACTTGGGGCACTCAGCGATGATCTCGTCCTCGTGGTACCACGTCACCGTAGGCGCTGGTGTCACCGTCACTGTCGCGGCAGGAAAGGCAGTTTTAACATTTACACATCACTGAGGTGGCAGGGCAGGGAAGGAAGTTTTAACATTTACACATCACTGAGGTGGCAGGGCAGGGAAGGAAGTTTTAACGGGTCACTGGGGCAACAGAGAAGGCCACTGCCATTAGATGACATCAACCAATGCCGGGCCGCCCCTCTCCCCACTACACCTGACTGTGGTCTACACGTTACTCTTTGTTCATGGCCTCTGTAATGTGATTAAGCCCTTGACGAGCAAAACGTAGCCTCGTTAAGATTCCTAACACAGCACATTTCTTAATTACACACTTGTTGGTATAATATATATTTTCTGCTACCTACGTGAAGAAAGTGTGAGGACAGGTGGCCAGTAATATGACTCACCTTGAACAGTAAATCTGATGGGGTCACCAATCTTAACGTCACGGCTTCTCAGTCCTTGGATGAATCTGTTCACCAGAGAAGTCAATCACATCAGTACATAATAAAATGCGTATTGTTACTTCCTGCAAGTTAAACATTATAACAACTACTACAACAACGTATTATGAACTTTGAAATAAAAAAAATATACATATACAGGATGAAAAGTGAAGCGCATAGTTTCATGTACATGTATAAAGTTATAAGGTAAACCTTCCTAGGATACAAACGACTCACTGCAACAAGAATGAAAAAGAGAGAGAGTGCAGAACAAGCTTTTATTGGGATAAAGATTCACTGAGGGTAGAGCTTGATCTGTAGCGTGTCTTTTCTGCAGGAGCCATTCTTGTTGCTGCCGTACCAAGGTGCAGAGATCCTCGATGATGGGTTAGTACCTACCTGGGTGGAATATTGGTAGCCAGCAGTTGCTCTTTCTCGTCCTCGTTTAAGTGGGATTTAATATCTTCAAGGGTGAGCTCAGCCGTGGACTGAGCTTTTCCCATGCAGTTTTTGGCGATGCACGAGTACTTGCCTGAAGGAATACAAAAGGATCTTACTAGGGAATACTTAAGAGACAATTAATGGCACTCTATATTCAGAGTTGCTAACAATGCATTCAACAGAGATTCTACATTCCCCCCCACACGCGCGCACGCGCGCACACGCGCACGCACGCACACACCACACACACACACACACACACACACACACACACACACACACACACACACACACACACACGGGGCCAGGAGCTCGGACTCGACCCCCGCAACCTCAACTAGGTGAGTACAACTAGGTGAGTACACACACACACACACACACATGTGCCTAGGACAAAATGGTAACTAACACACACACACACACACACACAGGAACTGTGACTTGATCCCTGCAACCACAAATAGGTGAGTACACACACACGCACACACAGGAAAGACAGAGCCTAGTAACAACCAGCAGAGGTAGGGCCAGGAACCGAGATTCTACCCATACAACACAAACATTTCTCCAAGCTACCAGAGGCAGCAGGTTTGGCTGACCTAAGGAGTTGGTGCCAGAGAGCTGGTACACGTCGCCAGGTTTGAGCTCTTGTCCGTCCTTGAACCACTGCAACAGTGGAGTCGGATATCCCACCACTTTACACTCAAACGACACCAGCCCCTCATCCGTCAGCAACGCCCTGAGGTTGTCCAGGAACCGAGGCTCACGGTAATTCCGGGGAACTGTGAGAGACAAATACTCGTTCAACACATCAGTCAACATGTATGGATTAATTAATGCTTTGAAAGGTAAAAATATGCCAACACATGCATCAGAGCAAACTATTTATTTAGGCAACGTTTTACTCACTGGTGGGCTATTCAAGCCATGCCTTCAAAATGCTCACCAGTGAGCGAAATGCGTAAATAGAAAGTTTGCTTCGCTGTCTTTTAAAGTGACTTTGTACGACTATGCTAATCATTCAACCAACCGCATAGTTCGAAAGAATCACCTCTTGGGGACCAAACTAGGTTCCAGCTGGGCTCTACAAGACTCATTCTAAAAACGTTCTAGTCACTTGTTCATAACTCCAAATCTCACAAAAGCGTGACAATAAAAACTGACATTTTTTTTGGAGTACTTCCGTGATGCAACAGATACTTAAGAACTGCAACTCGTAACTTCACAATTGGTGTAACATAACTGACCTGTTAAAATGAGTTTACAAGACGACGTAGTATAGCCGCCTTCGTTTTTAACGACGACCTTCCAATCTCCGTCGTCGCCGAGTTCGGTGTGGAAGATCTCGAGCATGTATCGCCCTCCTCCCTCATCACTCAGACGGTACCGGTCGCTCTCCTCTACCTTCCTCCCATCGTTGTACCATGACACAGACAGCACCTCAGGCGGAGTCTCCACTGTGGGGGAGGGTGTAGTAAGTACTTGTAGGAAGTGTGTCTCCTCTACCTCGCCTTGTGGTAAATGATCCACACGGGTTTAGTGAAAGTTGGCACGTCCAGCTGACACTGGACTGACAGTGTCATCCACTACACAAGCATAATTGTCAGACACGTAAGAAATGTAACAAAGCACTGGGGAGAAAAATAATTAAATTAACATTCAGAAAAAAGGACAAAGGTAGAGTTAGGGAGAAATGCACTGTCTCTTTTTACACCCATACCGAGAAAAAGCTAGTGATAGTAATGTAACCAAGTGCTGTCTCTGTATGATGTATCTTGTTATAATCGCAACCGAGCGATAACAAATGCAAAGCAACCACGAGGGGAGGGGGCATGGTAGGTGGATGACAGCTCTCATCCAACTACCTCCCTCCCTTGTGGTTGTTTTGCATATGATACACCACGTGCTATGAGCTGCTCTCTGTATGTAATACACATGTTTAGACATGTATATATACATATATATGCGACCGCTGTTGCTACCAAGTGAGTAACTGGTACATCATTCCACTACCAAGTTACATTACAGTATCACTCACATGTAAGCCCCAAGATATCCCCTGTTACTGAAGGGAGAGGACACTGACGCATCAGCTTGGTATGCAACTTCTCAACTCGATTCGTGTACTTCATGAAGGCTCACTGTTTTGTGGTAACCCGCAACGGAGTTTCTTGATATAACAGTATTATACATTACTAACGTAAACATAAGTAATATATTTTTTTATATTTATTACCATGGATTTTTTCATATTTTAAATAAAAATCAAAGCATTAATTCTATTATAGTTTGCATAAACAGATTATTACCTTTAATACTGAGTCTGGCCTTGTCGCCGACTTTAACCTTGCGATCTGTCAAGTGATCGAGAAGCACGGGTGGAGGACCCACTGGTGTGGGCGACCTGCGACCCTTCCTGTGGGAAGACAAGCAATTATCACATCCCAATATTTGTTTCAGTACTGTCATGCAATCATCGCATCTCAACAATTCCTTTAACACTGTCATACAATTACATCCAACACTTCCTTCAACACTCATACAATCAACATATCTCAACACTTCCTTCAACACTGTCATACAATAATCACATCTTAACACTTCCTTCAACACTCTCATACAGTCATCGCATCTATCATTTCCTTCAACACTCATACAATCATCACATCCCTACACTTCCTTCAACGCACATACAATCATCACATCCCTACACTTCCTTCAACACTCATACAATCATCACATCCCTACACTTCCTTCAACACTCATACAATCATCACATCCCTACACTTCCTTCAACGCTCATACATCAAACCCCTATCCACATATCACCTCTACACTTCCTTTAACACTCATACAATCATCACATCCCTACACTTCCTTCAACACTGTCATTTCCATTATCACCTTACTAATGACTCATTTACTCTGTGACGCCTTTCCACAATTATTCAATTTCATACATTTTTTGTGATGGTTTTGCTAAAAACAATACGTATTAGATGGTAATGGCTCACTGTCAAATTTTAATTAGTCTGGGATTATTGTCAGAAGACTGAATTGTTATTATATAGAAGCGACCAAAGTGCTGTGGGTACATACTATACATTGATCATAGTCCAAATTAATCCATGTATAATACAGATGTCATTTTAAACCACGGTAATAAAAATAATGGAACACTTATCATTAAAAATGTAAATATTAATGAGAAAAGCTTACGAATATCGTAAAAATTTCCCATTAATGTAGCCTCTAGCACTTGCAAGAAGGGAAGTAGGGCGGGACTCACCTAGAAGGAGGTCTGAGTGAGGATTCCCTGGAGAGGACCCGCACTCTGGAAGAGGATATGGTGCGACCCATACAGTTGACTGCCTCACAGGTGTACGTCCCCAGAGATGTGGGGTCATTAGCATTAGCAGTGAGTGCAAACACATCTCCTGGTGGTATGAGAGACAAGGTGGCAGGGAGTGCTAACATCTGGTAGTGTGAGAGTCAACCTGTGGTTGACTTGGCCCATTAGCACCTTAAATTATGTTCCTTCTGATGCGTTTCTCATTCAAATTCTTTTATACTATTAATATACGATTTGGCTATGGTTAGATATTAACCTTTATTATTAATGCATTATAACCCTTAATAGTCACAAGTAAAATGCGGATGCAACTTAAGACATATTTTTAATTATTAAGAAGTGTACACACTACAAACCGCATAGTGATGTATGTGTCGCAGTGCCCACATTACTGTATAAGCTCTCGCACTGAAAACGAAACTTAGTCAAAAAGGTTCAATAAGCAAACTTGTACGTACCAGCTTTAATTTCGATTCCATCTTTGTACCATTTAAGGATGGGCGTGGGCACGCCCACTACCTTACACTCGAGGCTGACGGTGCCCTCAGCAGTGAGAAGAGCCTCAAGCTCCTCTAGGAACACCGGCTGCTTATATCCCTTGGGAACTGTGGCAAATAGCAACATTAGTCACTCTAGAAGGCACTCAGTATGCAATCAACTTGTGCTCAAGTCCTCCATGCATAAATGAAGTTTGCAACAGAACATCTCAAGTAACAATTGGTACGAATATCAGCTGCAAAGGTTCATCTACATAACTTAAATTGATCAAATTTGAATACAAGACTAAAGCATGCTAAAAATTTAAAACATTCTTACAAAAGTTTACCATTCAAGATTATTATTATTACTACTATATTCATGTGGAGCGCTATACCCGTAGGGTCATAAAGCGCCTCGGGGAATAGAAGGTATTCAAGCTTGATTCAAGGAATTGGAGCCCCTCACCAACAATAAAAAAAAATCCTTTGAGGGGATACCACTCAATACTTTAGTTATTTATACTACATATCCTGTCGTATAATAGGCAGAGGACTATCAAAATTTCCGAAAAAAAAAATCTTACTCAAATAATTATATTTAATAAAGCAATGAACGTTAAGTTCAGATGGGAAACAGAAGCATAAGTAAGACTAGGTAGGAGTGGTGGAAAAAGTCGGGAAAATATATAATTATTAAAGACGAAGCGATTAAAAAGCTTTATATGATTCCCTAAATTAATATCACGAATTTAACTAAGGATAAACTAAATGATGCTATAAGGATTATCAATGCTTAGTTGCAATGAACAGACATTAAAGACTTTGGAATACACATATTTTTTTACAATCTGAAGCCTACCTTTTTTAATCAATACTTTCTCACTCGAGTACCTGGGACCGCAGTCCAAAGCGTCACAACGGGGTGAATCTAATGATTTAGAAAATCAATGCGTACTGAACTCCACTCTTAAAACTGGTGTGTTGATGATGTAACAAAGACAAGAAACAAAGAGTAGAGATAAATATTTGAGGGAGAAAGGGAGGAGGGAGTGAAAAGGGACGCGGGGATGGGTATGACTGACCGATGACCCTGAGGGAGGCGCTGCTGGAAGCTTGGCCAGAGGAATTCTCTGCGACACACTTCCAAGGTCCCTCGTCCGTCACACTCAGAGGAGAGATGTCGACGCAGAAGAAGTTACCTTCGTGTAGCAGCCGATACCTGGGGTCCTCCGACACCTCCACGTTGTTGTGGTACCAGTACACCTAGTTTACGTAGGTAATAATGAGACCATGCTATGCTTGATATACGCACTTCATAAAAGGTTACAGATGGTTGCCGATGATTACATTACTAAAGGTTAAAACTTTCTGGATCATCCACCGTCATGACAAATCACTAACTTTGTGGTCACCAGAATCTATAGCCACAAGTAAAGTGATAATGAACCTTTAGCTGTATTAAGTGACGTAACTACACATTTGTGTGTGTATGTCTTACATGTATGTATGTTACATATACCTGTGTAAGTTAACATTTTGCTGTAAATGTGTATATTAATTCTTTTTAAATTTTTAACACGTGTAGGTTTAATTTACTTCAAATATTAATCAGCAATTGTATAAGTCATAATCAAAGAAGTCACCCTGGCCTGCAGGAGTCTCACCTTGACATCGTGTGCCTGACGAAGCTCCACCAGGAACCTGACTCTGGTGCCGACCTTAGCAGCGAGATCACTCAAGGTCCTGGCGAAGGTAGGTGCTTCCACCCTGCTGGGGGCGGTATGGCTCACCACCTGTAGTGCCACCGCCGCCCGCGCCTGCACCCAACACAAACACACTTCTTCAGTTTATGCTTAAAGTACCAAAAATAAAGAAAAATATTAACAAGTACTGGCGATGAGGTGACTTTCTCTACCAAAACGTTTAAGGAAGTTCCTTAGCGCGAGATATAGAGATGAGTACTGCATGATTCACTTTAGGTTGACTGCCACTATGATAGGTTAATAAGAAATTGGCTGAACCTTGCCCTAACACTGTGCAAACCTCTGCCTCCCTTGTCCTACCTACAGTAGTTTCAACGTTCCACAAATTATGACGTTCTCACTGGATGAATTTTTTATGAGGTAATAATATTTCTAGTCCTGCTGGAACTAAACCTTTAAAGCTCCAGTAACTAACGAACCTGCAGAGCAATATTTAATATCTCGATTACCTTGCTTAAGTCCCCCAACCCAAGCTGACAGACATCCTTACTTAATGTATGAAATACAACCTAAGTGATAGTATATGAAGGAAACATACCTAACATCTATTCCCACTATGTAACTCTCATACAGAATAGGATAATCGCAGGTGTTTCCACCATGCACCGCTCATAAAATAGGATAACCATGCACACGGCAGGTGTTCCCATCATGTACCCTATTATAATAGGGTGACCGTATACACAACGAGGGTGTATTACATTGTGATACAAGATCCCTGCACAAACTGGTGGTTGGTGGGGCTCAGTACCTGGGTGCCATCGTGCCTGGTGACGAGGGCGGTGTAGGTGCCAGAGTCCTGGGAAGTGGCATCGTGGATGACCAGCTGGGCCGCCTGCTGCGTCTCTGTCTTGGTGTAGTGTGGACCACACACCACCTCCCGCCCGCCCTTCAACCTGCAATACAGTGTTGCCACTCAAGCTCAATCTGAATATGGTATTACCGCCAAAGGTCTGCCTGCAACACGACATTACCCCCTAAACGTCTGCCTGCAACACATTATTATCATTCAAACTATACCTGAAGCACAGTGTTACCACTCAAACTCAATCTGCAACACAGAATTACTACCGAAGATATGCCTGAAACACAGTATGACACTCAAGCTCTGCCTGCAACACGGTATTATTACTCAAGGTCTGCCTGCAACACAGAGTTACCGGCTCCATTTAAAACAGACAAAAATCACAGACGTGGAGAATGTACTGAGATTCACTGTTAGTATAAAGTCACTTAAAATCTCTCAAACTGTGCTCCTTGGAATGCGCAACACAGTTTTATCAGTTAAGATTTGCCTGCAACACTGTCACCAGTCACTGCAACACAGCATTAACAATAAGGAACAACTCTCTGTGATGGTACTAAATACAGTCAGTGTTGCTGCAAGACTATCCTGGCATATTACTGCAAATGTTGTGTCGCAATATCTCCCCTGCTCTAGTTATTATAGTTAGAGGGAGCGCTTAACCCGTAAGGCTCATACAGCACCTGAGGAATGCGACTGATCCGAAGAGGAACGTGGCTTCAGTTCCTAAGATCAAGCGCCCTAAATCAGCACTTGTTACTGATATACAAGTAATGAAATAAAAATCTACAATGTGTTTAAGGTAAGACTTTGTTGGGAGTTTTTAACTCCGGAAAGTGTTAGCAACCCAGGTTAACACAATCAACTCCATGCGTCATGGGGGACTCTGTCTTATCGATGACGCACAAACATTATTGAGTTATCCTGGGTTTCCGTCTTCGTGTGTCTTCAATACATCTACAAGTGTCACTACAGACCGATGCTTCATAATAGAACACTATTTATTGTAATTTATCCTCCACAAGAACAAGTTTTAATTGCCATTTATCAGGTAAAAGACATTTTTATTAATGTATGAAAATACAACCTAGTGATGTTTAAGTACTCCGTCCTCCCAGATGACTGTGAAACAAAAAACCTGTAATTTTTTGCATGAGGGTGGATTTCTGTTTCTTTTCTGTCTCATAAACACGCTAAGATAACAGGGATATCTTGCTACTCCTACTTACACTTTGGTCACACTTCACAGACACGCACATGCATATATATATATACATACATCTAGGTTTTTTCTCCTTTTTCTAAATAGCTCTTGTTCTTTTTTATTTCTTCTATTGTCCATGGGGAAGTGGAAAAGAATCTTTCCTCCGTAAGCCATGCGTGTCGTATGAGGCGACTAAAATGCCGGGAGCAATGGGCTAGTAACCCTTCTCCTGTATACAATTACTAAAAAAGAGAAGAAGAAAAACTTTATAAAACTGGGTTGCTTAAATGTGCGTGGATGTAGAGTGCGGATGACAAGAAACAGATGATTGCTGATGTTATGAATGAAAAGAAGTTGGATGTCCTGGCCCTAAGCGAAACAAAGCTGAAGGGGGTAGGAGAGTTTCAGTGGGGGGAAATAAATGGGATTAAATCTGGAGTATCTGAGAGAGTTAGAGCAAAGGAAGGGTAGCAGTAATGTTAAATGATCAGTTATGGAAGGAGAAAAAGAGAATATGAATGTGTAAATTCAAGAATTATGTGGATTAAAGTCAAGGTTGGATGCGAGAAGTGGGTCATAATAAGCGTGTATGCACCTGGAGAAGAGAGGAATGCAGAGGAGAGAGAGAGATTTTGGGAGATGTTAAGTGAATGTATAGGAGCCTTTGAACCAAGTGAGAGAGTAATTGTGGTAGGGGACTTGAATGCTAAAGTAGGAGAAACTTTTAGAGAGGGTGTGGTAGGTAAGTTTGGGGTGCCAGGTGTAAATGATAATGGGAGCCCTTTGATTGAACTTTGTATAGAAAGGGGTTTAGTTATAGGTAATACATATTTTAAGAAAAAGAGGATAAATAAGTATACACGATATGATGTAGGGCGAAATGACAGTAGTTTGTTGGATTATGTATTGGTAGATAAAAGACTGTTGAGTAGACTTCATAATGTACATGTTTATAGAGGGGCCACAGATATATCAGATCACTTTCTAGTTGTAGCTACACTGAGAGTAAAAGGTAGATGGGATACAAGGAGAATAGAAGCATCAGGGAAGAGAGAGGTGAAGGTTTATAAACTAAAAGAGGAGGCAGTTAGGGTAAGATATAAACAGCTATTGGAGGATAGATGGGCTAATGAGAGCATAGGCAATGGGGTCGAAGAGGTATGGGGTAGGTTTAAAAATGTAGTGTTAGAGTGTTCAGCAGAAGTTTGTGGTTACAGGAAAGTGGGTGCAGGAGGGAAGAGGAGCGATTGGTGGAATGATGATGTAAGAGAGTAGTAAGGGAGAAAAGTTAGCATATGAGAAGTTTTTACAAAGTAGAAGTGATGCAAGGAGGGAAGAGTATATGGAGAAAAAGAGAGAAGTTAAGAGAGTGGTGAAGCAATGTAAAAAGAGAGCAAATGAGAGAGTGGGTGAGATGTTATCAACAAATTTTGTTGAAAATAAGAAAAAGTTTTGGAGTGAGATTAACAAGTTAAGAAAGCCTAGAGAACAAATGGATTTGTCAGTTAAAAATAGGAGAGGAGAGTTATTAAATGGAGAGTTAGAGGTATTGGGAAGATGGAAGGAATATTTTGAGGAATTGTTAAATGTTGATGAAGATAGGGAAGCTGTGATTTCGTGTATAGGGCAAGGAGGAATAACATCTTGTAGGAGTGAGGAAGAGCCAGTTGTGAGTGTGGGGAAGTTCGTGAGGCAGTAGGCAAAATGAAAGGGGGTAAGGCAGCCGGGATTGATGGGATAAAGATAGAAATGTTAAAAGCAGGTGGGGATATAGTTTTGGAGTGGTTGGTGCAATTATTTAATAAATGTATGGAAGAGGGTAAGGTACCTAGGGATTGGCAGAGAGCATGCATAGTTCCTTTGTATAAAGGCAAAGGGGATAAAAGAGAGTGCAAAAATTATAGGGGGATAAGTCTGTTGAGTGTACCTGGTAAAGTGTATGGTAGAGTTATAATTGAAAGAATTAAGAGTAAGACGGAGAATAGGATAGCAGATGAACAAGGAGGCTTTAGGAAAGGTAGGGGGTGTGTGGACCAGGTGTTTACAGTGAAACATATAAGTGAACAGTATTTAGATAAGGCTAAAGAGGTCTTTGTGGCATTTATGGATTTGGAAAAGGCATATGACAGGGTGGATAGGGGGGCAATGTGGCAGATGTTGCAAGTGTATGGTGTAGGAGGTAGGTTACTGAAAGCAGTGAAGAGTTTTTACGAGGATAGTGAGGCTCAAGTTAGAGTATGTAGGAAAGAAGGAAATTTTTTCCCAGTAAAAGTAGGCCTTAGACAAGGATGTGTGATGTCACCGTGGTTGTTTAATATATTTATAGATGGGGTTGTAAGAGAAGTAAATGCGAGGGTCTTGGCAAGAGGCGTGGAGTTAAAAGATAAAGAATCACACACAAAGTGGGAGTTGTCACAGCTGCTCTTTGCTGATGACACTGTGCTCTTGGGAGATTCTGAAGAGAAGTTGCAGAGATTGGTGGATGAATTTGGTAGGGTGTGCAAAAGAAGAAAATTAAAGGTGAATACAGGAAAGAGTAAGGTTATGAGGATAACAAAAAGATTAGGTGATGAAAGATTGAATATCAGATTGGAGGGAGAGAGTATGGAGGAGGTGAATGTATTCAGATATTTGGGAGTGGACGTGTCAGCGGATGGGTCTATGAAAGATGAGGTGAATCATAGAATTGATGAGGGAAAAAGAGTGAGTGGTGCACTTAGGAGTCTGTGGAGACAAAGAACTTTGTCCTTGGAGCAAAGAGGGGAATGTATGAGAGTATAGTTTTACCAACGCTCTTATATGGGTGTGAAGCGTGGGTGATGAATGTTGCAGCGAGGAGAAGGCTGGAGGCAGTGGAGATGTCATGTCTGAGGGCAATGTGTGGTGTGAATATAATGCAGAGAATTCGTAGTTTGGAAGTTAGGAGGAGGTGCGGGATTACCAAAACTGTTGTCCAGAGGGCTGAGGAAGGGTTGTTGAGGTGGTTCGGACATGTAGAGAGAATGGAGCAAAACAGAATGACTTCAAGAGTGTATCAGTCTGTAGTGGAAGGAAGGCGGGGTAGGGGTCGGCCTGGGAAGGGGTTGGAGGGAGGGGGTAAAGGAGGTTTTGTGTGCGAGGGGCTTGGACTTCCAGCAGGCATGCGTGAGCGTGTTTTGATAGGAGTGAATGGAGACAAATGGTTTTTAATACTTGACGTGCTGTTGGAGTGTGAGCAAAGTAACATTTATGAAGGGATTCAGGGAAACCGGCAGGCCGGACTTGAGTCCTGGAGATGGGAAGTACAGTGCCTGCACTCTGAAGGAGGGGTGTTAATGTTGCAGTTTAAAAACTGTAGTGTAAAGCACCCTTCTGGCAAGACAGTGATGGAGTGAATGATGGTGAAAGTTTTTCTTTTTCGGGCCACCCTGCCTTGGTGGGAATCGGCCGGTGTGATAATAAAATAAATAAATACCTAACATCTATTCCCACTATGTAACTCTCATACAGAATAGGATAATCGCAGGTGTTTCCACCATGCACCGCTCATAAAATAGGATAACCATGCACACGGCAGGTGTTCCCATCATGTACCCTATTATAATAGGGTGATCGTATACACAACGAGGGTGTATTACATTGTGATACAAGATCCCTGCACAAACTGGTGGTTGGTGGGACTCAGTACCTGGGTGCCATCGTGCCTGGTGACGAGGGCGGTGTAGGTGCCAGAGTCCTGGGAAGTGGCATCGTGGATGACCAGCTGGGCCGCCTGCTGCGTCTCTGTCTGGTGTAGTGTGGACCACACACCACCTCCCGCCCGCCCTTCAACCTGCAATACAGTGTTGCCACTCAAGCTCAATCTGAATATGGTATTACCGCCAAAGGTCTGCCTGCAACACGACATT